CCCCAAAACCCCAAAACCCCAAAACCCCAAAACCCCATGAGTGCATATCATTTGAGATAAGATAAGTGGAAAGATATATGAGTTAATTATGAATCTCGCTTCTAAATAAACACACCTATTTACTTTTCCTTTATTACTCTAATCACTGGGGATCCTTTGATACTAGCACTGTTAAGAACATTAAACCAATAACTGCATATTTAAACATTGGATAGTCATTTAGCCAGATTGTTAGCATTCCTACATATGGTGCATTTCTATATGAATTATCATCAAAGGTTATTATAATTACCCGACTACTTGACCCATAATCTAGCTCTCTTTAATCCACAATTGACCTCTAGGGTATAGTCCTCTATCATCTACTGGATTGTTATCTCCCTTGGTCAATACTCTGATCTCTTTATTAGGCCTATGATAATTTCAATTACACTACAATTCATCTTACAACTACTAAATCGTAATCACTCTGTGGACAATGGGGATAACCTCATTTTCGAGTTAGAACACAATAATATCTCCCACATCGATCTTATCTCTTCTGTACAAGAATAAAATATCACCTCGGTAATATGATGGCTCCATACTTCCACTATATAAATAAATTAAGTATCAATTGAATTGTTTAAGATTTCCCACTTAGATATTCCCATACGTATATCTTAATAAATTACCTCAACACGACAACCACAGGTGACTCGGTACCAGTTGCGACCATCAATGTCTTCCATATCATGAGTGCAGAGCACACAATCATGCCGAAACTCATGCCTTGCAGAAGTAACTAGATTGATTAAGTGATATAGTAAGTACCTTTCTGAGTTTCATAGATCTGATCTCGTTCAACGTGTCAGTGATTATATTCATTTTTATTAATTATTTGTATTTAAGCTTTTTCTTAATAGATATAATTTATAATTCAATTATATAGTATAATTAAAATGGTAGAAGGTGGGCCAACACAGAAGACATTCAACTTAGATCTTCACATAAAGTAACTCTGCATCAAGGTCACAGAGCCTACTGTAATCACTATTACCTGGCAAAGAGGTGGGTATTTCTCATAAAAAGCATAATATTCTAAAAAAATATATACTAATCGAAATAATAGGTCCTAAAAAAGCAAACACTAAGAGTAAGAAATTTGATCAGAACGTTAGTTTGGCTAATTTTGAGGAAAGATTCTAAATATCTACTGTTATGGATATAGATGCTTCTGGGAAGCCACTTAAAGCTAAAATGGTACATGATAGCTGATTAATAGTAAATAGTCTTCTTTCACGATAAATGGAAACACAGGCAAGGGCTTATTGGGAGAAGCAGATTTGAATCTTAGCGATTATCAAGAGAATGAATTCAGATATATGAAGCTCCCTCTCAGAAATTGTTCTGACCCAGATGCATACCTAGAAGTAGGTCTTAAAGCAACCCAGGCACGTGAAAAGAAAACTGATACCCCCAAGGCATCTCAATCAGCATCTGGCTAGAAAGATAACGAAGCCAGTAAAGAATAAATGATCCAAATACTGTACGTATTTACTCTCATCAAACTTTAAGCATCATCCACCAAATATCATATACTAAAATTCTGATTATTTTTTAGAGATGACATGGATAAAGAAAGAAAACTCTAAAAGAAAAATAAGCAAGAGTACGACGAGAAGATTCGCGGACTCAATGAGAAGATCAATAATCTCCAGACTACCCTTGAAAATACTAAGACTGACTTGACTCATCTTTAGAAGCAGCAAAAGGGACTTTCATAAGAAAAGGAGGTTATGTCCAAGGATATCGACATTTTGAAACTTAAAATTGGGCAGAAAGAGGATGCTGTTCATGAAAAAGAGAAAGACATTAAGGACTAGCAAGTAAAGCTCAAGAATATTCAAGGTGACTACGATAAAATTCATAATGAAATGTAAGCAACTCTCAATGCTTAAATATATTATACAGTGAGGCATAGAAAAATGTTAAGGATCAAGAGGTGAAAGACTTGCAGGCTAAGATTGATCAGACATTCCTGGACTTCAAGAAACTCTACGATTTTGACAAGTTTGATACAGACTACTTGGGCTGCATAAACACTCTATTCGCCAATACTGCAGCACCCTCCAGTACTATAGCAGCACCTACTACAATACCCAGAAGAGAGAGCGTTAAGAAATGAACATAATGAAATTAAGTTTCTATTATGATTGAATCTGATGAGCGAGAATCATATGAATGCAAGGATTGAAGAAATTAGATAGTCATAGTGATGATTTAATATTTAAGTTAATGATTTTAATATTCAAATATTTATTATTTAAACCATGCTAATCAACATGATCTCATAAATTAAATTATTGGTAATAGCTATAAGTCCTTAACAGAAATCAATATGATTGAGTATCAATCCTAATCCTATTCAAATTTCATACTTTTTAAGCTATAAATTCTTATGCTTTCGATCTCTTAATTAAATCTTCCACTTCATTCTAAATCTCTGAGGGCAAATTGTGTTCTAAGCAAAACTCAGCAGCTAGCAAAGCTGCGTCTGAATCTCTCATTACCTTTATTTGGTATTCCTTATCATCTGTCAGCGTCAATTTTAGCATAAATTCATTCGAGGGATTTGATTGCAATAGCTAGTCATTAGATCTCTTTTTACTTAGGATCGGCTGAAACAAAGACTAATCCAATTCTTTTTACTACTTAATAATTATGGTTGGTCTATTACTGTTGTTCATGGGGTTCACAGATTACCTTTGAGAGCTTAGCTACGACTACCTGTGAGAGGGGCCATTCTAGGATTGAATAGTTACCCTATCATTATTTTTAGAGAGATTAATCTGCTACAACATACTTTATCTGGAATAGTTGCTTTTTAGGACTGGTTCTGGTATTTTTATAAGTTAATGAGCGATACCTCTATTGTTAGAGTGCTAGGATATATGTGACATCGATTTCTATTTCTTTTGAAGTGCTGAGCTATCTCTAGATTTATTGTTTTTCTATATAAATACTGATTGAGATATAAGCTTATCATTAATAAGGGAGTTGTTTTGTAAACTTTCTCTTGATCTTTAAGAGAGTATTGGGTATTATTGCTAGAATTAGTTTTGAATCTAATTGATAAAATTGTGTTATTTATGCTAATACTTTGAGCCTTGACTGAACTAGTTCATGCTCTTCGATCTCTTCATTGTTACTACCTCTTCATTCTTATTAAATTCACTCTGATCCTCATTTAACTCATTACTTTGTTGTTAAAATATCTACTTCCTTTGCTAGTCTAAAATTTAAGACTTTTTATTGATGATTGGAGAGAATCTGCACTCAAGATCCTCTAGGATTTGATCTTAATGCCTTTTTTAGAGCTCATCTTATAGCTTTTTATCTTTGTTTAATCTAAAAGCTATAATTCTTCCTACTTGATTCATATTTAGGCTTTCGAATTCATCAATTAGATTTTTAAGGGAAGCATTACTTATATCATCTTCAAACATTGCAAACTATTCTGATTAGAAGTTATCTTAGATAGTCTGAATCAGAACATCCTTTGATGCTATCTGATATAGCATCATTAATATTTATCTCAAAGCCAGTAAGTCTATTAAAGCATCTTAAATATTCTCGCAATCTGGATCAATTTACTTTACTATATAAAACCATAGATTTGAGGCGAAGTTTTATTCTCTTATTTACCTTAGTTAAGCCATTTAAGAAATTTGATGCTTGAATTGAAAAGTACCTAGGTAATAGAAGATATCATAAAACTGAATTAGATTTATCTTATTGATATTTTATTCCTACTAGTCTTAATCATTGTTTGCAAAATTTGATTGCACATGCTAAAGTACTTGATTGATCTCTCTCTGAGTTTTTTAGATGAGAAGTAAATCGTTCTTTTTCTTAAGTGATTGTTTAAATGGGGACTCTGGGTTTTCAGTATCACCAACAATGTTTTTAGTTGAAGGTTTAACATTAGCTAGATATTTTTGTGATTAACTTTGATTTACTCTCTTTGATAGATTTACACTTTTACTTAACCTTTAGTTTTGATCGTTATACTGAGGTGAATCTGAGACAAATTAAATATGTTTTGACAGTTAAAACTAAGGATTTTAAAGATTTGCAGTAAAATCCTCTTGTAAGATTTGATTGTTACTGTTATCATTTAGATATTTTGATGTTTTGACCTAAATTTGTGAATGATTAACTTAGCTATTAGCGATAGTCTCCTATTGTGGTTAATTTAACGATTTTTTGATAGGAGATACAACCTTTATTAAATTCTTTTAGTTAACTTTAGATGGGGAAGAGCTCCCGAATCTTTTTTTAGGGGTTTTAAGTTTATATTCATTCTTAGGTATTTCTTTTCTTTGATTTACATTATAAATTCCTCTTCTATGCTTAGATTGAGAATTCACTCGACTAATGCTGCTTTTGCTACTATTGCTTTTTTTCTTTGATTGATTGACTTGATCCATTGTTATCGTTGCCTCATTGTTGTAATTTGAAAGCACATGGTGCTGCTTTAAAGTCTGTTTAACCACCATATTTATAGCATTTTCTTAAGTATCATCGTTTATTTCATCTTCAACAACCTCTGAGTCAGATACTCTGCCATCGATAGGCTCTTTCATTTGATAATAAGGTTGGTGCTAATATTGTGCTGACTAGTTTTAAATGACTTATTGCATAGGATTGACATTTGAGTCTAACTTAATATTTAGATCTAATATTTTAACAGAGACCATTTGCTCTCTATAAGAATCATTACTCATCATGCCCTGTGATGTCTTAATATCATATGATTCCTCTGAAAATCTTAAAAAGTTATCTGAGAAATTTCTATTATGCTTATTATGTCTATCCTCATTTTTCTAATGACCTTTTATTTTATTATTCACATTTGCAATATTCATTACTTAGCTCTCTTATCTACTTCCATTTTTAATATGAGTTGTATCGATCAATTTGTGAATACTTCCCTCTTTGATTTTTGCAACAACTGGGCTTTTCTTCCTTTCGTTTGATAATGATGTTCTTGTTAGGGATTTTTAATTATTATTCGCACTTCTTGGAGGATATTTTGACATTGATGAATTAAAATTTATTTAACAAATCTTTTTTCTTCACTTGATAAACTACGCATTTTCCCCTTGGGGTTTTGGGGTTTTGGGGTTTTGGGG